TTCTTCTCTGAGAGAAGAAAAGTCCAAGGGCACTAACTCTCTGGCAGACTTTGAGGAAAGAAACGAGGGGCATAGATGGAGCCCTCGGGAAATACGGACCAGATGTGTGCCAAGTTCAGTGGCAACGTCGAGAGGGTTTGCTACATCAACACCAGCGACCCGTAGAACAGGAGCTGGGTCAGGAGAGTATTTACCACTCAATTTCCTCACTTTTTTCCAGACTGCACTCATAGAAGAAGCAGAGGTGATGGTGGAAACATAGTCTCACCAACAAGTGAGTTTAGCTTCACGGATGACACGGCGAGCAATCGCACGCTTCTGCTTAAAATCAAGAAGTCTCTCAGCGGTTCTATTGTACCGGTACCTGCCCCATGCAGCACGTTTCAAACGTACTGCACGAGCACAAGCGGGAGACCACCAAGGCACGCACTTCTGAGAATGCCTGCCTGAGGTTTGGGGTATAGAATGAGAAGCTGCGGTATAAACTGACGTCGAGAAAATGTGTAGGAGCTCATCAATGGAGGATGAAGAAGGAACCTCACTAAAAGCAGTGAGGTGTGAGTAAAGATCCCAATTTGCCCGATCAAATTGCCAGCGAGGGCTACGGAAAGGTGGTGAATAGGAAGGAGAAGTAAGAATGATCGGAAAATGATCGCTGTCATGTAAGTCTGGTAGAACAGACCAGGTGAAGTCTAGTGCAGTGGAGGAAGAGCAGACTGATAGATCGATGCAAGAGAGAGTATGAGTACGAGGATCAAAATGGGTGGGAGTACCCGTATTTAAAACATGGAGGGGGTGAGAGGCGAGAAAAGCCTCCAACTGAATGCTACGTGAGTCACAATGAGACCCCCCCCAGAGGAAATGGTGGGCATTAAAATCACCAAGTAACAGAAGTGGTGGTCGTAAGGATGAAACAAGAAAGGCAAAGTCTGGGATAGAAAATGCTCGAGAAGGAGAGAGATATAAAGAACATATTGTAAACCACTTATTCAAGTGGATACGGGCTACAGTGTAATGCAGCGAGGTATGGACAAATAGTTGACAGTACGGAATATCATTGAGTAGAAGAAGGGCACTTTCATTAAAGGTCCCACCTGAGAAAGGATCCGAAGAATACAATAAATTATAGCCTGAGATAGGTTGGAAAACAGCCGAGTGTAATTTTGGTTCTTGTAAGCAAGCACCAAGGGGAAAACCTGGAAAGCAACATCTGAAGCTCACCCCGATTACCCCTGAGGCCGCGGATATTCCACTGTAAATAGGCCATGAAGAAAATATCAGGAATCTGTAGGTAAAGGCACCTACGGACTAGAGGGGTTAGAAAAGTCAACGTGTGGTGGCATTGGAAGATGTTCAAGTAGCGAAGGAACGGAGCGTTGCGAAGAATGGGGTTGTGAAGATGGAGGAGAGGGAAGAGAAGGAACAGGAAAAGAATCAGTGTCCATTGAAGGTTTAGTCTCTGCAATATATTCTGAAGTGGCTTCAAGTGTTTCTGAATTCAAAGATGTATGGGAGACCATATTGGAAATAGAAGGAGGAGGGTGAGTAAAGATTGGGACAGTAATGGACTGTACCAAAGTAGAGGGGGAGGGAAGAGTGTAAGGGACTGGAGATGAAGTGTGGGGGGGGGACAGAAGAGCAGAAACCTGGGAGGTGGCAGAAGAGGGAGAAACTTGGGAGGGGGACGGGGGTGGAAGGCATAGTACGAGGAGGAGGGTGAATCTCCACACTTGTAATAGAGCCAGAGAGAGGGGAAGAACTAGGTACAGAGACTGGAAAGGTAAAGTGTGGAGGTGGAAGAAGGGAAGGAAGGGGCAAAGAAGATTTGAGCAATGTGGATTTTTTGGACTTCTGAGTAGAGGGGCGATTGGTATTAGGTGTCGTACGAGGTCTTGTCGATACTGGGGCTTGTGAGGAAGGACGCGAAGATGTGAGAACAGACTGAGTTGTAGTCGGGACGTCAGAGCCAAGGACAGCAAAAGGATTAGATGCCATAGTGGCTATGGGAGGGGTAACAACAGAGGAGGCTGCAGAAGATGGGACCCAGAAGTGGGGGGATGTTTGGAAACACGAGAATAAGAAACATGGGGTAGTCTCCCTTGGAGGCGGAGATGAGTAACTGCCATAGCATAAGGGAGACCTTCTGCCTCTTTGAGGCAACGGATTTCCGTTCATTTAAGTAGACCTGGCAATGGCGGGAGTACGAAGGGTGAGCTTCATTACAATTAAGGCAAGATGGAGGTTGACTGCAAGATGTATTAGAATGGTCGTCGGCACCACAGACTGGGCATTCGGCCATAGATCTGCAATATTTCGCTGGGTGACCAAAACGCCAGCAATTTCTACATTGTTGCGGTGTAGGTATCACCTTTCGAACTTGTAACCGATGTCCGCGACATATACAGAGGACGGGAGTTCTCAGCTGTCAAAAGTTAAACGAGCCACATTGCAAGGGTAACGTCTCCGCCCCCGGGCAGGAAGGACAAAAGTGTCTACTTTGAGGATTGGGAGATCCTGGAGTTCCAGCTGTTCAAAAATGTCATTGCCACATGACTGGAAATTCTGTTGGACTATGGTATGGGGCAGAATGACAGTACCACTACAAGAATTGAGAGAAAGATGTTTTTCAATAGTGATAGGAGTAGTATCGATATTCGAAAGGAGAGAAAGATCATGAGCTTGGGTAGCATTCTGGACAGTGATGATACGCGTACCGCTCGAGAGCGTGAAATGAAATATCTCTGCCAACATGACGCAGGAGCGCTTTGCCAATACTATGGTCAGAAAGGTAGGCAGAAGAAGAAGTTGGTCTTAAAGTAAAGAATTTAGTCCATTGTGTGGTCCGAAACTGAGCGTGGAGAGGGAGTTCTTGACGTGTCGGTCTTTTCCGAGTAGAATGGGAAGGTAAGGAAGGAGCATCATCAGGAGATTGACGTTGGCGTTTAGGAGTAGGACCGGAGTTAGTCCGGCGTGAAATGGGCAGGCGATTCGAAAATTGCCGTACCGTAGAGGGAGAAGCCGGAAGCATAGTCAAAGGAGAGCGGAGTTCAGACAAATCGAAGGAGTCAGTCGAAGCCCCGGTACCTGAAGCGGGTGAGGAAACAGCACCAGCAAGAGGTACAGGGGCATCAGGAGTGTCTGAAGAGTGGTCTAAATACAAGGCAGGGTCAGAATGGGGTGCGGTATCAAGAAGGGGCCCGGGGGTAGTGGTTTCATGGACTAGGGCTGCCATGGTTAGGTTACTCCTTTGCTTTTTGTTTTTAAGAAAAAAAAAAAGAAAGAAGAAAATAAAAATAAAAAAAAGAATAAAAAAAGGGGGGAGCGGGGAGGAATAGTTCCCAGGAGGAATGAAAGGGCTGGAAATCCCCCTCCGCGCCCAAGAGGACCTCAACACCGCTAGTAGCGCAGATGCAGCATGGAACCCGTGCCATACCCTACCCTTCATGCCAGTAAACCAGCAATCCGGGATAGCAACCTCACATCTGCCGAGCTACCTCGGTGGACAAAAGAGAGGGCGGCCGGATATCCGCCACAAAGCATACCTCCTTCGGCCATCACCCCCGGAATCCGAAAGGTGGCTTCCAGAGATACACCCGTTGCCCAAAAGACACCCAAAGCTACTCCGGGATACAGGAGAGGGATCGGGACATCCCCAGGCAATCCAGATTCCACGGCAAACTACGCCACCACCAAGAACCTCAACGGAATGGGATGGACCCCAGTGTCCTTTCCCCTACCGAGGAACTAGCGCGCCTGTGGGAGAAATCCCAAAGGCCAAAAAGAGGAAGGGCAAAAGGGAGGGGTGAGGAGGAGGAGGAGGAATGGAAAAAGGGGAGGATGGGATAGGGGAGGGGAGAATGGGGGGTAATTAGGTTCGGTCTGAGGAAGAAGACCGACAGGGCTAATTCCTCAGACCAAGAGCCTCTTCACCATGCCAATGAGCCCCCCTTGAAGAGGTCATTATAATCAAGAGGAAGAGCTCAACCTGTAGGATTATGCAGCACCTGTGGGGGAGATGCAGAAGGTATTCAGGCTTAATTCTGAGAACTGGAGCACAGATCCAATTCCCTAGATCAAAAGTCCCTCAGCAACGTCAAGGAACCTTCCTCGAGGGGAACATATTCAGACTAAATTGAGGGAACTGGTGGAGATACAGTTCCCTACATCAATTATAATTAAAGAGAAGCGCTAAACCTACAAGGGTCATACAGAGCTCCCTAGATCAAGACTCCATCACCAGCATCAAGGAACTCCTTTGAGGGGAAAGTGTGTAATAAATCGGTTGCTGTCAAAGAGGAAGTGTCAAAAGTGGTGATGTCAGCAAGGGGGTGGGGGGTGGGGGGTAACATAAAGTAAAGGTGAAGGTAAATTCTGTATTCTCACTGATAGACTGGTCAGTCAACAGTATATGGCAAACTGAAATTGGACAAGGAATTGGAACATAGGTCCAATTCCTTTGGTCAAGAGAACCCTCACAACATCAAGGAACCTTGCATTCAAAATTCATGAACATGTAGATTCCCTCACAAAAATCTGATATATTTACTTTATCACCCTATTACAGCAAGTGGTGTACAGTGCCAAAGTGTTTGCCAAAGAGAAGTTGCCTTTTGAAGTGACTAAAGACAGTAATTATTATCAAAACTAGGCACTAAACACTAAGACAGTATAGGTGGCCTGGTGGCTAAAGCTCCTGCTTCACACACGGAGGGTCCGGGTTCGATTCCCGGCGGGTGGAAACATTTCGATGCGTTTCCTTACACCTGTCGTCTTGTTCACCTAGCAGCAAATAGGTACCTGGGTGTTAGTCGACTGGTGTGGGTCGCATCCTGGGGGACAAGATTAAGGACCCCAATGGAAATAAGTTAGTCCTTGATGATGCACTGACTTTCTTGGGTTATCCTGGGTGGCTAACCCTCTGGGGTTAAAAATCCAAAGAAAATATTAGTGTTGAGAGTGCATTTCATAGTTATTAATGAGCAAAATAACTTTTCTTATAGTCTGTTATCAGGTACAATGTTCCTGAGCCTGAAGCAAGCGACGCCTTCAAGCTAACAGTCAACACACACACAGAACCTGACAAGAACTGCATCACAAAGCGTATTAAAGCTTGCGCCACTTACCTACTTCCTGATGGCAAGTCTAACATGGCCGTCATGGAGGTCAAACTCGTCTCTGGCTATGTACCTGAAAAACTGGACCTTAAACAAATCACTAGAGATGTAACTGCCATAAAAAAGTATGAAGTGGACGGCAGCAAAGTGGCCTTTTACATTGACGAGTTGACACCAACAGAAGTGTGTGCAAGCTTCCGTATCCTGCGGGAAGTGGATGTAGAGCATACCAAGCCAGGAACTATTGTGCTCTATGACTACTATCAGCCAGAGTTCTCTGTTGATGAGGTACGTATGCTCTCAAACTAATATTTAATGTTATCGTGATTATGGAAGAGCGCTAAACCAGTTGGGATTGTACAGTGCCTGTGTGTATGTGGGGGGGGGGATTCAGGCAATTGGAGCGCAGATCTAATTCCGTAGATCATGAGCCCCTCACTGGCATCAAGGAACCTCTCTTGAGGGGTGGTAACATGAGCATACCTCAAAGAGAATGAATACGAAAGGGTTTATGTATGCAACATTTAAATAGAGGAAATTATAATCATAGCTAAGCACTAAACCATAAGGATCATACTGCACTGCAGGGTAGGGTGTGCTAATGTATGATCTGAAACTAGCAAGGTGGAGAGTATAATGGAGATAGAGTTAGTAAGAGCGGTGAGGAGTGTGAAAGGAACTATAATCAAAATCTTGTGTAATATTATTATAATAAAAAAGAAATGCTAAACCTACAAGGGTCATACAGTGCCACTGGGCAGGGAAGGATGCAGGGGTATTTGGGTAACGAGAGAGAGAAGGATGATTATTAGGTCATGGAGTGCAGAGACTGAGGTAGAAAGAGCAGTGAGGGGTATGAGAGGCATCATCATCAGAGCTCATGCAGTAAATCATATGCTGTCAAAAAAGTCAACAAGAGTCTGAGTTAAAGGAGGGTCCATCAGCAAGAAGGGAAGGTAAAGTAAGGGTAGTAGAGCAGTGACGATGTTGGATGTAAATTCTGCATGCTCACTGATAGTGGACAGTCCAACAAAATGTAGCTAATAGAAACTGGAACCTGACAATTCTCAGAATGGAACAGGGCGCCTCTCCATGAGATACCCTTGAGTAAGAAGTATGTAGCCGATGCCAAGATGGGAGAGAGTCGTCTCCCAACCTCGACACTGACTGTAAGACTGCCAGAAATCTACATACGATTAAAAGAATGTAGTTTATTATAGAGCAGATCAGACCAACTTTGTTGCCAACTGGTGCAAAGGTGGGTAGCAATTACAGCAAAATAGTCTGTGAATGGAACAACTTACATGAAACTGGTAGGTCATGTACTGCTGACTGCACAGCAGTGTCTGCCTGTTCATTGCCCTGTATGTCAGTGTGACCAGGAACCCAACAAAAAACAATATCTTTGTCCTTGCTAGAGATACTGCATAACCAGAGTTGGATAAGAAGAACCAGGGGATGAGGTGTACAATTTTTCAATAGCCTGTAAAGCAGTAAGGGTATCTTAACGACCAAAAATGTGAAACAGGCTAGATGCAATATAAACCATACCCCCCCCGGACCGGATTGAACCCGCAGTCATAGTCTCAAAACTCCAGCCCGCGGGTTCAATCCCGGCCGGGGGTATGGTTTGTTTGCAATCGTGTCATTACGATTTCTTGAGTCATAGATGCAATATGGATAAGTGCTACGAGAATGACATTCAATTCAGCCTTAAAAATGCTAGCCTGGGATAATAAATGTCCTTGCACAATGCTGTCTGGAAATGCTGCTGCGAATCCGACACCATCAGAAGACTTGGAACTATCCTGTACACTGTGATGGCATGAGAATGAGATCAGAAGTGGTTAAGAAAAAGAGCGAGAAGCCACCGTAGGCAGTTGGGCTTTCGCACATGGCGGTGGGAAAGAACAGACATGAACCATTGGATTATTATAATAAAAAAGAAGCGCTAAGCCACAAGGGCTATACAGCAGATGAACCGTTGGAACTTTCCAAGGGTAGGGTTGCCATAATCGAGTTTCGATAAAATTAGGCCTGAATGTAGTCAGGGGAGAGTCCTACGATCAACTCCCCATGAAAGATAAGCAAGGGTTTAAAGGAGGCTCAGTCAGCTATGACAAATTGCCTTCAGAGAGGTAATGTAAGGTTTCCAGGATAACCTACGGTCATACACAAGGCCGAGAAACCTGACTGTATCACGTTCTGGTTTACGCGAGCCATATAGGTACAATGTATGATCAGACAATAGAACATCTAATGAAAGTAATTCAGCGAGTTTTGGTACTAGAAAATTTAAACCCACGAGTAGTGGCCCAATTGGAAACACAGTTGGCCGCATGCTGCAGAGAAACCGCAGTGAGGTGACAGCACCTGCACAAACTATGGTGAAATTATCAACGTAGAGTGAGGGCCAAATATTGGATGGAAGAACAGAGGCCAGATCATTTATAGTAAGGAGAAAAAGTGTTGTATTCAAAATATACCCTTGGGGGACACCTTCAGCTGACAAAGTCCGGGGAAAGCATATTATTAACCCAAACATGGAAGTGTCTTTCAGTTAAGGTCTGAAGGAAAAATGGTAGATTGCCTCAGAAGCTTAAGGAGTGGGCCTGGGCCAAGATTATATACCTCCAAGTTGTCATATGCCTTCTCAAGGTTAAAAAAAAAAAAAAAAAAAAGATGGCGTTAACTGAATGGTTATTGGCAAAGGCATGATGGACCTATGTATCTATGCATAGTAAGGAGTCATTGGTAGAATGGCCCTTGTGAAAGCCATATTGACTAGTGGAGAGACTTGTGTGCACACCTAAATGCCACATCAAAAGTCTATTTACCAGTAGTTCCATTACCTTGCAAACTGCACTGGTAAGAGCAATAGGACGATAGTGGGAGGAGTGGGAGGCATCATGTCTCCTAGTACTATGGCAAATTTCCACAGCTGGGTAAGAACTTGTGACCAAATAAAATTAGTCATAGAGGACTGCAAGGGCTGACTGATGTAAATGCTGCAGCATCTGAATATGAATGCCATCAGGCCCAGCTGCCGATGATCAGCAAGCTGAGTGTGTTGCCTCCAGTTCCAGAAGTGTAAATGGCACATTATAAGATTCTTCTCTGACGGAAGAAAAGTTTAAGGGCTCTAACTCTCTGGCAGACATTGAGGAATGAAATGAAGGGCATAGATGAAGCCCCTGAGAGATACAGACAAGATGATTACCAATTTAGGTGGCAATGTCAAGAGGGTTTGCGATATAAACACCAGCAACTCGAAGAACAGGAGCCTGGTCAGGAGTATTTACCACTCAGTTTCCGTACTTTTTTTCCAGACTGCATTCATAGGGGAAGCAAAGGTGATGGTTGAAACAATCTTGTCAGCATGTTTAACATCACGGATGACATGGCAAACGACCGCACCCTTCTGCTTAAAATCAAGGACTCTCTCTGTGGTTCTATTGTACTGGTAACTGCCCCATGTAGCGCATTTCAAACATACTGCCCGAACACAAACAGGATACCACCAAGGCAGGCACTTCTGAGAATGCCTGCTGGAGGTTTGGGGTATAGAATGTGAAGCTGTGGTTAAAACAGGTCGAGGTGTAAAAGCTCATCAATGGAGAATGAAGGAGGAGCCACACTAAAAGCAGTTAGATGCGAGTAAAGGTCCCAATTTACTCAGTCAAATTGCCAGCATGGGCTACAGGGTGGTGGAGAATGTGTAGTAGTAAGAATGATTGGAAAATGATCGCTGTCATGTAAGTCTGGGAGGACAGACCAAGTGAAGTCTAGTGCACTGGAGGAAGAGCAGAGAGAGATCGATGGGAGAGAATGAGCACGAGAATCAAAATGGGTGGGAGAACCCATATTTAAAACATGGAGGGGGGAGAAGCGAGAAAAGCCTCCAACTGTATGCCACAGGAGTCACAGTGGGACCCCCCCAGGAAATGGTGGGCATTAAAATCACCAAGTAACAGAGGTGGTGACAGTAAGGAAGAAAACCAGAAATGCAACATCTGGGATAGATAAGGCCCAAGGAGGAGAGAGATACAAAGAACAGACTATATACCACTTCAAGAGGATATGGGCTGCAGTGTAATACCGATGGTATGGAATACCGGTGCGAATACTGGTGCTACTGGTGCGTATAAATGCACTTTCATTAAAGGTTCCATCGGGAAAAGGAGCTGAGGAATATAATAAATCATAACGAGATGGGATGGAGAACAGTGGAGCATAATTTGGGTTCTTGTAAACAAACACAAATGGGAAAACTGGGGGAGCAACACCTGGAGCTCACCCTGGTTACCTCTGAGGCCATGTATATTCCACTGTAAATACGCCATGATTTGCAAAGAGAAAGATAAAATAAAACTGAAGGTGGATTATTATTATAATCAAAAAGAAGCGCTAAGCCACAACTGAAGGTGGAGGTATCTACAGACTAGTAGGGTTAGAAAAGTCCACACGTGGAGGTAGCTGAAGACTTAAGCAGCGAAGAAAGGAGTCTGAAGAAAGGAGTTGTGCAGACAGAGAAGAATTAAGAGGTGGAACAGATGTATCACAACGGAGAAGAATTAAGAGGTGGAACAGATGTATCGGTCTAGTCTCTTCAGTATATTCCCAGATAACTTCAAGTGTTTCTGAGGACAAGGACATTGTGTGTGGTACAGTATTTAAAATGGAAGGAGGGTGAGTAAAGATCGGAGAGACTATGGACTGTACCAAAGTAGGGGGAACACAAAAGGGTAGAGGGAACTAGAGAAGCTTGGAAGGGGACATTTGGAGAAGTGACCTGGGAGGGGGCAGAAGAGGAAGAAACTTGGGAAAGGACATGGGAAGAAGGTATTGTACAAGGAGGAGGAACCTTCACACTCTTAACACAGCCAGTTAGAGGTGAAGAATGGTACAGAGACTGGGAAGGAAAAATGAGCAGGTTGCAGAAGGGAAGGAGGGGTAAAATGAGATTTTAACAATAGGGATGTTTTGGACTTCAGAGAAGGAGAGGGGCGATGGGGAGTAGGTGTTGTATGAGGTCTCAAACTTGCCAGTGAGAAGAGGAAGAGGTGAGAACAGAAGGTGGTGCCGAGGTGGGGACCTCTGAGCCCAGGACAGCAGAATTAGATGGGGCTGACCACAGAGGAGGCTGCAGAAGTTAGGACCCCAGAGGGGGAACATTTAGTAACTCTATTATAATAAAAAAAGTGCTAAGCCACAAGGGCTATACAGTGCTGATTTTTAGTAACTGGAGAATAAGAGATATGGGGAAGTTTCCCTTGGAGGTGTAGATG